CTGGGGCTTGAAGTCTGGCCTTGGGCTCTGCCCCTCAACTCTTCAGCTCAAGGCAAGCGCTCTATGCTTGACAGTTTATTGGAGATAAGAGTACCAAGGACTTACATACCTTGGCTGTTTTTGAAACACAGTCCTCAGATCTCAGCCTCCTGAGTAGCTAGGATTATAGGGGTGAGTCTAGAGCAACCTGTCAAGTCTGTTTTGAGCTAAACACAGATAATTGCTTTGTGTTTGTGTACCTTTTAGTATGTAATTGTTCAGCATTCCATAGATGAAAAAATTAAAAGTGAGTTTATAAGGAATATACATTTAATAAACTTACTATGAGTAAAATGAGTGAGATATTCATATTCCATTTCATATTGCCGTGTCTTCCTATCTTTTTTTTTTTTTTTTTTTGTCGGTCATGGGGCTTGAACTCTGGGCCTGGGCACTGTCTCTCAGCTCAAGGTGAGCACTCTACCACTTGAGCCACTGCCCCACTTCCAGTTTTCTGGTGGTTAATTGGAGATAATAAGAGTCTCACGAACTTTCCTGCCTGGGTTGCCTATGAACCAGGATCCTCAGATTTCAGCTTCCTGAATGTAGCTATGACTATAGGCGTGAGCCACTGGTGCCTGGCCTCCTGTCTTTTTAATATTGTGAAATGTAGGAATACAGAGTTGGGGAGAAGGAACATTTTCCTGTTCATTCTTGATGAGAAGGTCTTGGATTTAAGTAGAATTATTTGTTTTACATAAATGCTTGACAGTTATGGAATGTTTAATTTGGTTGTTTTGTTTTGTTTTAGATTGATATTTTGTTTGCAAGATTAGCACTGCAGACTATTCCAGAAGATTTGGACCTACGAGATGACAGTTTGCTTAAAAATTTAGATATAAGATGTATAAGAAGTCTTAATGGTATGTCAAAAGTCTACTTACTTTTACCTAGTAGGAATTTTATCAGATAATAATCAGTTGTTTCTAAATCTGGTTTTTATAATGCAACTGTGTAGCTTTTAAATAAAATTAAGCATACTTAATACATCCTGCACGGTTATTCTTTGCTGTCATTATTAGTGTGCACACACACACAGACACACACACACAGACACACACACACACAAACGAGGCCTGGGGGACTTTTCTGAACAGTTTTATTGGCATAAGTTGGTTAACATGCTTTCACAACAGCTCTTGACAAGATTAAAAGTTTCAATTAGGAAATTGTTAAAAGTTGAGGTTAGGTGTAGGTAACAGTATTGTTAATTTTGTTTAGGATAGTGCTTGTTAGTTCAGTATTGATGCTTTAAATTTAATATTTTTTGCCTCTTGATTTAACGTTATTTATTCTACCATGTGAAGTTTTTATTTTGACATCAGTCTCAGAAAACGTACTAGTATTGCCAAACTTTTGATGACTTAATACTCTTATTTTTGTTTTTTGTTTTTTTTTTCACTATTAATTAGGTTGCAGGGTAACCGATGAAATTTTACATCTAGTACCAAATATTGACAACTTCAGGTTAACTCTGAGAGCTATCAAACTGTGGGCCAAACGTGAGTTCAGAATTTGTTGGCTAGCTTATTAAAAATGTTTAAACTTTTGTTCAACACTAACTTATCTTTCTGCTTTCCCTTATCAACAGGGCACAACATCTATTCCAATATATTAGGTTTCCTCGGTGGTGTTTCCTGGGCTATGCTAGTAGCAAGAACTTGCCAGCTTTATCCAAATGCAATAGCATCAACTCTTGTACATAAATTTTTCTTGGTATTTTCTAAATGGTATGTGTTTAGATTATATTAAAATAAAATTGATTGTAGACACTGAAGTTTAGTCTTATTTCTATGACATTTCTGCAGCTGATTTCAAATTCAAATTTTAGTTCATGATATAGTCATTAGATAGCCTTGAAGATCACTGAACTCCATTCCTTTCCCTAGATTTGCCAGCATCCCAAATCAGATACTATTTGTGCTTGCTTGCATAAACCTTACCTTCCGAATAAACTCTGAATTTTAGCTGTAACATCTGCTAAAATCTAATTTTTTAATAGGTTGGGTTACCAGTTACTTTTGCATAAAACTAAACACACCACCTTTTTCTTTCTTTGAATGCTTCTAAATCTACAGGCCATTACCTTTTGTGATTGTGTTTGCCTTTTTCTTTAAGCTGTGCTTTTATCTTTGGTAGAATAGTAAAGTTGTCATTTATATAAAAAGGTTTTGAAAATACATTAATGTTAAGTGCCTGAGGTGGGGACAGGGAACCCTTTGGGAATTAGTCATTAACCCAGGAAAGATTTGGGGCTGGGAGGGCGATTGATAAAACCTGAATTTGCAAACCATGATTTCTTTTAAGAAAAGCTCTAAGTTATTGCTTTGATTCCCAAAGTAGTGATAGTTCTTGGTTTTTAATCAAATTTATCCCAAGAGATATAGGTCTTTCCTATTCTTGCAATCTTTTCCTCCATCTGCAAAACAAATTTTTTCCCCCTAACAATTTTGTAAAAAAAAAAAAATTCAGTCATTGGACACTTTCTTATGTACATTCCACTGTTTTATAATTTGATAGCACATTTTGATATATAATAAGATATGACAAGATGAGTAAAACATTCAAATTTCTTTTAAGGCTACACACATAACCTAATAATATTTTTTTTTTATTTTTCTTTAGCAATACTGAGGCTTCAGCTCAGGTTATGCTTACCAGGCAGGTTTTCTGCTCTGACTGGCCATGAGTAGTGTTTTTTTTTTAATAATCTGACTTGATAATAGGGTGGCATATATTTTTTATTTTGTGTCTCCTCCATAATGGACTGAACTAATTTATTACAGATTTTGTTCTGAAAAGAATGTTCATGTTAGAGTTTTATTATTCCTACTCATGTTACATCTTTTAAGTTATAAGACGGAGAAAAACTGTCCTGACTTTCCTAATCATCCCTGCCTCTTTGACTATGATCAGAAGTAACTGTATTATTTGTCTTTTTCTTTTTAATATAATTTTATTATTAAGGTGTTGTACAGAGGAGTTAATTTCATAAGTCAGGTAATTAGTACATTTCTTTTTTGGACAGTGTCATCCCTTTGCTTTCTCCCAGTTAAAAAATAATTTTAATGAAATTATTAGGAAGGCAGGATTTTTTCATTGGGTGGGATTTATCTTGTTCAAGGTTGAAGTGAACACATCCGATGTCTTGAGATAGTGCTTCTTTATTTAAGTAGTGCTTCATTAGTTTTTTGAGGAAAGATGTTTGACACCAGTTTGAAAAAGATGCCAAATGCTTTACTATTGTAGAGGAAAAGTTTCAAGTAATCTTATGTCAGTGGAAAGGGATAAAAGATTATATATACCGAAGTGAATGAAGGATCACTTTCACAAATGCTGTATGTTTAACAAAATACGTTTAGATGATAATATCCAATAGTCTTATCAAGTGCTACAATCTTTTTAAACAGGGAATGGCCAAATCCAGTGCTATTGAAACAGCCTGAAGAATGCAATCTTAATTTGCCTGTATGGGACCCAAGGGTTAGTGTATTATTTTTTCCCCTACAAATTCACACTGTGCAATAACAAGTAAAAATCATCTGCATAAACTCCAGGGAGACTGCTTAGCCTTTTACAAATGAGTGAACATGTTCGTATTACACTTCTTCTAGATAACCTCATCTACTTGTCCTCTGGTGTGCGAAGCGTAATGATGTACCCTGTAAATCACATTTACTTGTAAAGAGTGAATACAAATTTCACTAACAATTTTAATTCTATATAGAAATACCTTGTAAGTCAATATTGTGTGGGCATTTGTGCTTTCAAAAAAAAATAAAAGGATACTAAAAATCCCTGTATTTTTTTATTTGATCTAAATATTTTGTTAAATTTGGGTGGTTAAAGGAAAGCTGTTGCTTAATGTTTACATGTGACAGACAATTTCTAAGTATTACTACGAGCTAATTGTAAAAGTTGGTTTAGATACTGCAGAAGTGTTAAAAAACGATTGGACTAAAGAAGATCTTTCCCTTTTGTTTCTTGAGAAATTAAGGACATTGCTGCTTATACATTTTAAATGTTTATGCCATGAACCTTAATAATTAATTGGAAGACTTTATAGATTTTCAGAATTCTTTTTTAAATTATTTGCTATCTTTATTGCAATGCCAAAACCTTTTTAAGTTCTGCTGTACTATATATCAAGCAGTGCTTTTTAAAGTTTTCCTAGCCCAAAGGTTTTTTTTTTTTAGGTTTTGAGGATAAGTAACAGTATACAGACTTTAAGATTAAAATTTTAAGTCATTCTATTATCTCTTAATGATATCAACATAGTATAGTTTCATCATGTGTTAAGCATAAACTCCTTATCTTGTTTATAATTTGCACAGAACTTGCACATGACATTTCTTTAAATAGTTACAGAGGCATCCTTATATCTGTTGCAGAATAAGGGAAAAGTAGATTGCGAAGAATTCTTTTATATTTAGCAAGCACCTTAGTAAGGTGACCAGAAATAGTCCTGCCCCTATACTTGAAACAAATCATTCGTATAGGCCAAATCGTTGATTCTCTGAAGAATTCCTATGAAAAGAATTTTCCTTACAAGGTTTTTTTTTTTCTCAACTTCAGCTATGAATGAAATAAAATTTAATCATTGATTCAGTGTAACAAGGGGTAAAAAGTCCAAGTATCTGTTGCATATGTACTTGAAGAAACTGATTGGCTGTTGTTGTATGTAGGTAAACCCCAGTGATAGGTACCATCTTATGCCTATAATTACACCAGCATACCCACAACAGAACTCCACGTACAATGTGTCCGTTTCAACACGGATGGTCATGGTTGAGGAGTTTAAACAAGGTAAGTGTTTATCCTCTTATGCTCTCCTTGTGCAGGAAGGATTACATACCATTTGTAGACCCACTAGTCAGCTGTTCAGTTTTATTGAAATACAAGTTGAAGTGGGTTTTGGCATAATTTTTTTATTATATATTTGAGAGTTCACTTATTTTCTTTTAGGTGTTTCATTTTTGGCTATGTTGGAAGATTAACACTTTAAAGCTGTATGTTTAGATGTGTGTTGTCCCTAGTTTAGTGCTATATTGTTGCCTTGTAAAATCAAGAGTGGTAACATTTTGTCTCCACGGGTGACTTGAGCTATGCCGGGCAGACTTCCTACATCAGCACAGAACTTTGAGTTGAATTGGAGTCAAACTGCTCATTATTTTAGAAGTTTGTTTTTTGTTAACTTTGTATTATAAACAGACTTGCTGTGTGTGTGTGTGTGTGCGTGCTTGCGTGCGTGCGTGCATGCATGTGTGTGATACTAGGGCTTTTTGTATTCATGGCTGGTACTTTATCATTTGAGCCAGATTGTAGAGGCTTGAACTCAGGGTCTGGGCACTGTCCTTGAGTTCTTTTTGCTCAAGGCTAGTGCTCTGCCACTGACCCACAGTTCCACTTTTGGTTTTCTGGTAGTTAATTGGAGATAATAGTATCGTCGCTTTTCTTGCCCAGGCTGACTTTGAACTGTGATCCTCAGATCTTAGCCTTCTGAGTAGCTAGAATTACAGGTGTGAGCCACCAGGTTTTCATTCTAGGTTTTTTGTTTGTTTTGGTCATGGGGCTTGAACTCTAGGGCTGGCTGCTGTCCCTGAGCTCTTCAGCTCAACACTAGCTAGCACTCTACCACTTGAGCTACATCCAGCCTTTTCTATTTATGTGGTGCTGAGGAATTGAACCCAGGGCCTCATGCATGAGGGGCAAGCAATCTACCGCTGAGTCACCTTCCCAGCCCCCAGTCTAGTTTTTTTTTTTTTTTTTAAAGAGGTGTGGAATCTTGAGAACTTGCTGGCTGGCTTTGGACCTCGAACTCCTAGGTCTCAGTCTCCTGAGATAATACAACAGGTGTGAGCTGCTAGTACCTGGCTTCCAAATTTGGGGGATTTTTGTTTTGTCTTTTTGGGTGCCAGCCTCAGGGCTTGAACTTGGCCTTGGTGCTGTTTGTTCAAGGCTAGCAGTTTGCCTTTGAGCCACAATTGTTATACTGGCTGGCTCTTTTGGTAATTAATTGGCGATAAAGAGACTTTCCTGTCCAGGCTGGCTTTGAACTATAGTCTGCAGATCTGAGCCTCCTGAGAGTAGCTAAGATTACAGGCATGAGCAACTAACACCTGGCTCCCTAGTTTTTTTTTTTTTTTTTTTTTTGTCTTGTTTTGTTTTTGGTCAGTCGTGGGGCCTGGGGACTGTCCCTCAACTCTTCAGCTCAAGGCCAGCACTCTTAACACTTGAGCCACAATGCCACTTCCCACTTTTTCTGCTTATGTGGTGTTGAGGAATCGAACCCAGGGCCTCATGCATGCAAGGCAAGCACTCCACCACTGAGCCACCTTCACAGCCCCTCCCCAGTTGTTTTTTGAGAAGAAGAATTGGAAAACAATTGTTTGATTGACTGACAGTTGTGGTAGTAGAAAAATGATGTATACAGTCAGCTTACCTTAACAATTTTCCCTTTTATCCAAAGGCTGTTTTTGGGAAGATGTTTCTTGACCCACTAGAAACAGCCGCTAAATTGTTTTTAGAAAGGCAAGAAATGAAGTGTATAGGAAAATCTTTTCTTCCCAGGTAACTACAGAGGTTCAGTTTTAAGCAAGTAATATGAATATGCCATTTTAAATGACAATGGTGATTTACTAGAAATTTAGCTTTTAATAAACTTTCAGCTTTTTTTTTTACTGTGTATGTAAGCATATGTCCTAGAGCCATAAAATAACACTTGATATAATTATTGTTCGAAGATTATAGTGACTGCATGTGGTATGCTTAAGGTTATTTTAAATTGTAGATGTTAGACTAAAGCATGCAAACATTCTAATATGTTTTTAATTTAGGTCTTGCTATCACAGATGAAATTTTGCTGAGTAAGGCAGAGTGGTCCAAGCTTTTTGAAGCTCCAAACTTCTTTCAAAAGTACAAGTATGTATTTTAAGGCATGTCAGACATGTTGCTCCTTTATAATGGTGTAATAGTAGCATATGACATCTTTTGCTAATTTACTGTAGTCTTGATCTTCTTTCAGTATCTGTAGAATTTTCCTTCTTCTCATAAAGAACATAAATAGGATGTTTTAGTGAACCCCTTTGTCAATCAATATAGTGTGTAGCTGCCACAGTTTTCCTGCCTGATCTAACTGAACTACTGTCTTTGTAAAGCATCAGATTTGTAGGCATGCCAGCAAATCTATATATACTGGCAAATGGGTGAGCCATTATAATTTTCAGTTAATATTTTCTGTTGAGAAATTTGAGTTTTCACTTAATTCTAGAAACTTGTTTAGCATAAAGAATCTTTATAACATACATAGACTTAATGTCATTTTGTACCCAGTGAAGTATTTCAATAGTTACAGCATTATCAGTAGTTATAGCATTATCTTCCCAGCACTAAGCCCTGTCAAGATTTCTATAAATAGTTTTCTTGGGATTTAGTGGGCATAATAATTTATGAATAGTTCCAAAATAATGGTTTAATACTTTAGGAGAGGTTAAAAGCTTTATTACTTGTGTTGGTTTGATGAAAATGTAAATTATAATAAATCTTAATTTAATTTTTAAACAAGACAATACATTGACTTGAAACTTCATTTGCCCTGGGCTGAAAAATTTCCAAATTCTCCTTCATTTTTTTAAATGCTTGAAACTTTCCTGACCATCTGATCTTGTATTCGATTGTGTTTTGTAATAAACTAAGCAAGATTGCTTAATGCTCTTTCCCCCAATTAAAAATAAGAATGATGACCATCACAATGTCTCTGTGTTTTGTTTGTTTTGCATGAAAAAGCAGTAGTAATTTATTAGTTGTGTTTTGTATTTCTTAGTAAAAGTTTACCTCTGTTACTATTTCCAAAAAAATTGTGATATCCAGTTGGCAGATATTTTTATTTGAGTGAGGAAGTATCTTTGAACATTTAATGTACTCATTTTTTAAATGTACTGATTCTTTTGAAACAGTATAAGAGAGATAACTTGATGCAAGGAGAATAAATGTTTTATGGAAAAATACCTGGCTGCTTTCAAATCCTGAGACTCAACCATGAATTATTTTTCCTGTCTTTCTTCGAGGAGTAAGAGATGGAAAGAATGGGATTCTTGGAAATACCTGCTTTAATAGCTTCCTTTAAGATTTGTATTGTCATTCAACAAACCTTGCTGCTCATTTTGTTGACATTATTAGGACTAGTTTTTCCTTTCAAAGTTAATGTTTCTTTTTAAACTAGTGCCTCTAAAGAAAATGTTGGGCAAAAAATATTTTGATATTTTCACTGAACCGTGAAAAGGTCAATTTTTTAAAGCTATTTTAAAAGGTTTAAGGGATAATTGCATGGTTCAGTGATACAGCACCTGCCTAGCAATAGCAAGCCCAAGACCCTGAATTTAAACTCCATTATCACATAAAGACTAAGTATAAAGACTATGTATATGGGAGAAAAGTAACATTTATTTTGGGAAATTTACATTTTACCTATATCCTAGGAAAACTTAAACATTTGAAAATGTGATAAAAGTGGCCCTCTTTCAGATACTATTGATAACTGTCTTGAAGTTTTTGAAGGTATTCACAAATTTGAATTTTTTCTTCTTTCTTTTTCTTTTTGGTTGGTTGTGGGGCTTGAATTCAAGACCTGGTCTTGTCCCTGAGCTTTTTTGTTCAAAGTTAGCACTCTATCCCTTTGAGCCACAGTTCCACTTTTGGTTTTTGAGTGATTAATTGGCTTCTAACCACCATCTTCTGAACTCAGCCTCATGAGTAGCTAAGATCACAGGTGTGAACCACCAGTGCCTGGCAACAAATTCGAATTTTTTTTTTTTTTTTGGTCTGTTGTGGGGCTTGAACTCTGGGCTTGGGCGCTGTCCCTGCGCTCTTCAGCTCAAGGTGAGCTCTCTACCACTTGAGCCACAGCACCACTTCTGGTTTTCTAGTGGTTTATTGGAGATAAGAATCTTACGGACTTTCCTGCCTAGGCTGACTTTGAACCTCCATCCTCAGATCTCAGCTTCCCGAGTAGCTAGGATTACAGGTGTGAGCCACCGGTGCCTGGCTACAAATTTGAATTTTTAAGATACATCTTCATAAAGTAACCTCTTGTCTGTAGAACACAATTGAAATGTTTTCTCATAATTGGAATTGATTATGGCTTTATTTATAGCATGACTTGAAGATATTCCCATTTGGTATGTGTGGGATTTAAAATTGTGTGACACATAGTTGCTATTCTTTGAAAGGAGGGTATCATAGAGGAAATTTTATTTGTCTTAAAAAGTAAACTGATCTTCCAGAAAGAGTCATCAGCTTGCCTTGAGTGAAAAGAGATGGGGTTCTTCTGTAAAGTTTTTTAAATTTATTTTTTATTTTTATTTTGTTGGTTCTGGGGCTTGAACTGGGCCTGGGCACTGTCCCAGAGTATTTTTTGCTCAGGGCTAGCACTGCCACTTGGAGCCACAACTCTACTTCTGTTTTTCTGGTGGTGGTTAATTGGAGATACGAGTCTCGTGGACTTGCCTGCCAAGGCTAGCTTTGATCTACAATCCTCATCTCAGCCTCGTTAGTAGGTAGGGTTATAGGTGTGAGCTACCCACGTCCCCGCTCTTCTGAAAAGTTTTGAAGCACTCTAAGAAATTGCTTTTGCTCTTTTGGGATATTTCCAGTGCTAGCAGTAAATAAATCAGCATTAAGAATTGTGAATACTCACTTTAGACATTACACTTAAATACAAAAAGGATTAGGGAAACCCAGTGTTCTCTGAAGTATATAATGATGAGTAATAATTTAGCTTTAAAATTGGTTTAAAATATTTAAGGTGGCAGTGAACTGTAACTCACCTCTGAATTATAAAAGGACTTACAAGGGCTTTTGACAGTGGTTTTCTTTCAGTGCTTACATCTGAGCTGGTCTACTCAGGTAAAGTATTGAGATGAAATGGCTAGGAGAACTACTTACATAGTTGTTTTTGTAGGTGATTTATTGGGAACTTGTAAAATGTTAGTTTGGGGGGGAGGTAATGATAATTGCATTGCCTTAAACATTTTATGTAGACTTCGGAGACATGGCAATTGAGAAGGGGCTGTCACTTTTTTTTTTATGCAACAACAAAAAAGAAATGTTACATTTGAAGTGCTTCTACTTCTCCGCTCTGATAGGAGCCTTGGAAACATTACCATTTCTTGATTTTAGCATGTAAAGTACAGATTTATAGAAAAATCAAGGTTGGATTTTTAGTATCTTGTATGTCACTTTGTTTCTGTCTTATTCTTACTGAATATAATGTGCTTTATAGAACTCATTTGCTAAATGTGCCTGAATAAAAAATTTGTATCTTCTAGAGATACTTGTAATGACTAATTTTCTATGACATTTATACATGAACACTGTACAGAAGAAAATCCTTTTCGTCTTTGGATTTCAGTTAAGAATCAAAAATTGAACTCTAGGCATCACAATTTTGAAATTGATAGCAATTTCAAACTTTAAAATATTTTATCTTTTGTATATAGAGAACATTGTGTTTTATGGTTTAGTCTGTCCTTGAAGACTCAGATGGTCATGAAGAGTATCCATTTCCACCATGTGGTGAAACAAGGAATTTCCTTCTTGGGCTTCCTTTGAGCTGCAATCCTCAGGTCTCAGCTTTCTGAGTAGCTAGGATTATAGGTGTGAGCCTCCAGCTCCCAGTCTATACATTTAACTTTTGGCCTATTTGTCTCTGTTGTTTTATGGTTATAAGACCTTAAGGTTCAATCAGTTTTTCACAATACTTCTGCCAGTGAAAAAGGTACTGTTAACTTAATTTTACACATGTACACAGCGTTAGAACTATCCAGGGTTGCAGTGCCTTTTTAAAAAAAGAAATCTGTTATTGGAATTTGAACTCAGTCTTGAGCTTGATGTCACTCTATTTACTATTTGAGTCATACCTCTAGTCCTATTTTAGCTAGTTACTTTGGAGATGGAATCTCTTGGACTTTGCTGCCTGGGCTGTCTCAAACCACAGTCTTGCGTATCTTAGCTTGTTTAGTATCTTTGATTGTAGACGTGAGCACACAGTGTTTGTCTGGAAATGTGTTATCTTTTAGCTGCTGGTCCTAGGGCTTGAACTCAGGCCTGGCCACTCTCTCTCAGATTTTTTTTCCCCCTTCAAGGCTAGTGTTCCATCACTAGCTACAGTTCCACTTCTTGCTTTTTTGTTGGACTGGACATAAGAGTTTCACAGACTGCCCAGCCTGGTTTCAAACTGATCATCCTCAGATGATCACCTTGCTGAATAGCTATGGTTACAGGCCTGAACCACCTGTGCCTGGCTTTCTAACTTTTTTTTTAAGTGTATTGTAAGCCTAGTTAATAGCCAGTGTGCTGTTTAAAAGTATAATAAAAAATACCCAAACATTTTACATTTTTAAAATTCCTAAAATGAAACCCTTAAAATGGCCTGAAAGCATCTTCATTTTTTAGCAACTGTGTTTTGTTTTTTACTTTTTTTCAGTGTGGGGATTGAACTCAGGCCCTGTGTACTGTCCCTGAGCTCTTTTGCTCAAGGCTAACACTTTCCATTTTGAGTCACAGTTCCACTCTGGCTTTTGAGTGAATAATTGGAGATAAAATTGTTGTGACTTTTCTGTTTAGGCTGGCTTTGATCCACGGTCCTCAGATCTCATTCTCCTGAGTAGCTAGAATTACAGGTGTGAGCCATTGGTGCCCATCTTGTGGTGGCTTTTTTTGGTTTGTATTTTGATACTCAGACTTGTTTTAAGGTAAAAATCTCACTGTGAAATGTGAGAGAAACATTAGGGTTTTCTAAGCTTCATAGTTTGAGAAGAAAGATTTTTTTTCCCTGTCATTGTGCTAGTGTCTACTATGGTGATGTCATTTTGCTTTCTTTTTTTGTACTGAGGTTTGAACTTAAGACAGGTACACTACTACTTGAGCCACCCCCCTCAGCTCTGTTTGCTTTTTTATGAGGTGAAGTTATTAATATGAAATTTACCTTTCAGCACTCAATGAGGTCATTGTAGATTGGTTTATTTCACTGAACTTTATTAGTGTAAGGAAAACGAATATGTGTAATAATCCACAATTTTTGTTCCAGGGACAGCATAGATTTTTTTTTAAAAGACATAAAAAGATAGTTAATTTGGTATTTTCTGAAATAAACTATTTTCAGATTGAATTCTGAATAGAAGTCATTTTATCCTCAAGGTAGAGGTATTTGTTTCAAAAATTTATACTATTAATACTACTTGAGGAAGTCTTGTTCTGGTTTCAGCGTTCAGTTTGTTTCAATACCAGTAAATTACAAAACCACATCGGTTAAATTAATTTTGAAGTTTTCTGATGTGATATGTGTATTTACCTACTCTGTTTGAAGAACAAAACCCTGGTGCTCTGATTTCATTAAAACATTTTAATAAGATTATATCTCTGTGAACAGCTCCTTTTTATCTTTATAGGTAGAACACTGTTACTGGATGTTACTGGAGTCATTGGGCAAAATTGTTAATGTGGAATTTAGCTACTTGTTTTGGTAATTCTTCATAAAATCACCTTTTTTCATTCAGGAAAATGTAACTCCAGTAATTAGAAGTGTAAAATTTGGTTCATAGGATTTTATGTGCATATTGAGATTGTAGGCCTCTCTGCTGCCAAGTTCTTGATTTATAAGTATATGTTTCATTGTGGTTTTAATATCCAACACAAAGCCCATAAATAAAATAAATAGCATGTTGTCTTTATCTTCAAAGGCATTATATTGTACTTCTAGCAAGTGCACCAACGGAAAAACAACGCCTAGAATGGTGAGTAGTAAGATAATTTTTGCAGAAAAAATAAACTTCAGAGTGAATCAGATAGCATGGAACAGGAGAAGCTGGGGGCGGCTTTTAACATTATCCCACTCAATTTTGTGTGCTCATAAATGGAACTTTACTACTTCTGATGAAAGCATTGGAATTAAAGAGTCCATATACAATTTACCATTTTTTGTACATGTTATTTATAAAAACATCATTTCTTGGCTGCATACTTAAAGTGGTTCAGGTTGTTAATCTTTCCTTAAACACTAGTGGGGTTATCTTAAGTAATCTTCTAGTTTGGAGAAGGAAGCACGCCTTACTTGTGCTCTACCTCAACATTTTTAGGTTCATTTTAAGGCTATTGGTTTTATATTTGGGAGAATAGTTCAGCCAATTGAACTGCCTGGGTATGTGTTTTAGTTATATATGATATACTGCTTTTTTATGTAAACATTTGGTTTGTATATTTGAGAATTTTTATGAAGTCAATAAAAACTTTTCTTAATACTAAGTGACATTTATTCAGGGTGGGATTGGTTGAATCAAAAATCCGAATCCTGGTTGGAAGCTTGGAGAAGAATGAGTTTATTACACTGGCTCATGTGAATCCCCAGTCATTTCCAGCACCCAAAGAAAATCCTGACAAGTATGTAATGCATTTTGCTATCCTTTAATCATAGAAGTTCTTATAGTTTGTTTTTATAACTAGTCTCACTATTCTTAACATGTGCCCTATAACCAACTCACAATTTATAACTTAGTTTCTCCATCAGCTTACATAAGATATTCTTGAAGAAAATCAGGACAAATTTTCTGTAATAGTTTGTAATGATGACATGCCTATTATTATAGTTAATATTCTTCAGGTGTGCTTTAACACTGTTAGAAATAATTCATTTATTTTTATGCTGGTCCTGGGGCTTGAACTTGTTAGCGCCTGGGTGTTGTTCTTGAGCTCTCTGCTGCTTAAGCTTCAGCTTCGCTTGTAGCTGTTTTGGTAGTTAGTTGGAGATAAAGAATCTCATGGGCTTTCCTGCCCAGGCTGGCTTTGATTCCCAAATCTCAGTTTCCTTAGGAGCTAAGGTTTTCGGTCTTGAGCCCCCAATACCTAGGAAGGGACATGTTTAATATTTTCTTTCTCTTTCTCCCTCTCTGTCTCTCTTTCTTTCTCCCAAGATAACTGTTAAACCAAATGTCATTTCTTGCTTTTTATCTTAAGGAAGTGATTTGGTTTGATCTTGAAATAATCTGATTTGTGATGGATTCTGAACCATTGGGAAAACATGTAAATAAGTACAAGCTTAGACTTTTGTTTTAAGGGTGTTAATATAGGTCAGTTGTTGTTCTTATTAGAGACCACGCCTATGTTGGAAGGATTTATGGAGTATTAGTAGTAAATATTTTAAAACAAATCAGCAGTAGCCTATGGTTGTGGTAGAGCCCTGGCTAGCAAGCCCTATTGCCACTAAAAATAAGCAGAAAAATAAAGATGGAAGGATTATTTAAGCTTATGGTATTTACAGTAATTGCTTAGGTCGTCTTAGGTCTTTCATAGTTCTGAAATAGTCTTGTTCAGACAAGATTTTGTTATATAACTAGCCTAGTCTTTCATTTAATCTCACTATGTATGTATGTATGTATGTATGTATGTAGGTTGGTTGTCAGCTTGAATTCAGGGCCTGGCACTGTCTCTGAACTTTTTTTTTTTTTTTTGGGTCAGTCATGGGGCTTGAACTCTGGGTCTGGGCATTGTTCCTCAGCTCTTCAGTTCAAGGCGAGCGCTCTACCACTTGAGCCACAGTGCCACTTCTGGCCTTTTCTGCTTATGTGGTGCTGAGGAATCGAACCCAGGGCCTCATGCATGTGAAACAAGCACTCTACCACTGAGCCACCTTCCCAGCCCTGACTCTGAACTCCCTTGCTCTAAAGTAGTGCTATACCACTTGAACCCACAGTTCTACTTTAGGTTTTGAGTGGTTAATCGGAGATAAGCGTTTCCCAGGAACTTTTCTGCCCAGACTCTCCTAGAGTCGAGGTTTTCAAATCTCAGTCTCCAAAGTAGCTAAGATTATAGGTGTGAGCCACTGGTGCCTAACTAGAGAAAAACATTCTTTTCTCCCCATTATTTGAAAACAATTTTTTATATTCCTGTCTTTTTGATACTTGAGAATCATCACTAAAAGAAACACAGATGTTTGTTACGAAGTCTGAATGGTTAGACACAGGAATATTAAAGGATTAGGTATGGGTGGGTAAGGACTTTGAAACTTTGATGCACTTTGGGTTTGGGATTTGTCAACTCAATTAATAGCTATATTTTCATGAATTCTGCCTAACGTGATGCTCTTCTTTTCAGGGAAGAATTTCGCACTATGTGGGTGATTGGGTTGGTGTTTAAAAAAACAGAGAACTCTGAAAATCTCAGTGTTGATCTTACTTACGATATTCAGTCTTTCACAGATACAGGTATGTCTTTACTTGCTTAAACCATTCTAGTGCTTGTATTTTGAATTTGTTGTGATATGCACAGTAACTACTAGTGATGTTTGCCATAAAGAGTTAAATTGAGACTAGTAAATAATGATCATTTGCAGGGTCTGGTGGCTCAGGACTATAATCCTAGCTACTCAGGAAGCTGAGAACTGAGGATAGCAGCTCAAAGCCAGCCCAGACAAAGTCAGTGAGACTCATCTCCAAATTAGCCACCAGAAATTCAGACGTAGTACTGGAACTCAAAAGTGGAAGAGCATTAGCCTTGAGCAAAAAGAACTTAGGGACAGTATCTGGGCCCATAGTTGAAACCCCCATCTGACCAAAACAAAAGGGAAAACATTAAAATTATCTTAATGGTTTCAGCAATGTGCATTATACATTGATGATTTTCTCTATAGGGAATGAACTTAAACTTAAGGTAGAGTCATTTTAAATTTAATTTGTTTACAATTCCCTATGGAATTAGAAAACCCTTCATGTTACAGATTTTTCTGTAAGATTGAGTCTGACTGTCTCAATCATTATCAACCTTAGAAATTGATGGAGCTGAATTGGTAATAGTGTGATATAGGGTAATTGTAGTATAAAGGGGAAACAAAATATAGTAGTTCTCCTTTACTTCTGTTTCTACTGAAGTTAGCCACAAACAGTAGATTTAATAGATTTAAATTGAAAATTCCAGAAATCACAAGTTTCAAATTGCATGCTGTGAGGCTGTGTCAGCAGCACTGTGCCAACCTAGGAAGCACAAGATGCTGAGTTCAAACCCTTTGTACTAGCAGAACATGAAAGAGAGTGCATGAGCTGTATGGAGTATCCTAATGGAATTTTGTACTGTCCTGCTTCATTCTGTCTGGGAAACCAAAATCATTTATGTGTACAGCATGTCCTCAGTGGGGGTTATGCATCTGCTAGTCACTTAGTAATCCCCCTCTGTATCAGACAATTGCTGTGTTGCTGTGCTTATATTCAGATAACCTTTTCATAGTAGCCTAATAGTGTGTCAGAATGTTTATTTACCTTATTTTATTCCATCATATAAACATAGCATCTTAAATTATCCCAATTACACTAAATATTTTATTCCAGTATATTGTCATAACTTCTTTTTTATTATTGGTTGTCCCACTGTGCATAATTACTAGTTCCTCTGTGCATAATTAATTAAGCTTGATCTTAGGTGTTGAAGGTATAGAAAAAAAATGAGTCAGTACTCTGGTTTGTAGACATACCCTGGTGCTCTGGGAAAGTAGCCCCTGGGGATAAATACAATGATATTATAAAACATTATTAAGTCCAGGTAACCCAGGTATAGTGATACAAGTCAGTAATCCGGTATTTATTTGGGAACCTGAGAAAGACTAAATGATTACTAGTTTCTGGCCAGCCTGCCTTAAATAGTAAGACGCTCTATTTTATTTTATTATTTTATTTATTTATTTATTTTGGGGGTCCAGTCGTGGGGCCTGAACTCTGGGCCTGGGCTCTGTCCCTCAGCTCTTCAGCTCAAGGCTAGCTCTCTACCACTTGAGCCACAGCGCCACTTCCGGCTTTTTTTCCTGTTTGCTTATGTGGTGCTGAGGAATAAAACCCAGGGCCTCAGGCATGCAAGGCAAGCACTCTACCACTGAGCCACCTTCCCAGCCCACGCTTTCTTTTTTTTTTTATTTTTTTTTTTATGTGGTGCTGAGGAATCGAACCCAGGGCCTCATGCATGCAAGGCAAGCGCTCTACCACTGAGCTACCTTCCCAGCCCCAGGGAAGTATTTATGAATAGAGAGATGGGGCTGGAAAGGTGGCTTAGTGGTAGAGGGCTTGCCTAGCATGCATGGAGCCCTGGGTTTGATTCCTTAGCACCACATACACAGAAGAAGCCAGAAATGGCGCTGTGGCTCAAATGGTAGAGCCTTGAGCAAAACAAGCTCAGGGACAGTGCCCAGGCCCTGAGTTCAAGCCTCAGGACTGGCAAAAATGAAAAAAATAAAATAGATGTTGGAGTATGATGAATGTATATATATATATATGTATATATAGCATCCAAATGGAAATGCATGGGGAGGATGGGCGGGGACAGGGGGGTCTAGTAGCATATAAATAGATCATTATACATGGATGCCACCAGTAAAGTTGACTCTGGAATAGAAGTTGTGTTGGGTCAGCTCGTAGAGGGCTTGGTAGGTCCCAAATATACACCCTAACAGGCCCAGGATGCTGATCAGGACGTCTTTAGCAATGGTGACAAAGCTGATATCCTCAGAGTAGAAGGTGGTGATCTCCAGCAGCGGGGGTATGATGAGGGCCAGGGCGCTGCTGCTCACCGAGCCCACCAGAGAGATGACCAGGTCCAGCCGGGGGATGAGCACGGCCAGCACGCCTGCGGGGGAGGAGGAGAAGGAAAATCATTGAATGCTTCTGGCACGAAGAAAGAAAGGAGGCTGAGATCTGAGGATCGCAGTTCAAAGCCAGCCTGGGCAGGAAAGTCCATGAGACTCTTATTGCCACTGAACCACCAGCAAACCAGAAGTGATGCTGTGGCTCAAGTGGTAGAGTGCTCGCCTTGAGCTGAAGAGCTGAGGGACAGCACCCAGGCCCAGAGTTCAAGCCCCACGATGAAACCAAAACCCAAATCAAAACTAGAGTCCGAGGCATATGGATGGATGGCACTGGAGATTTCTGCTCTCTTCAACTCCAGGTTTAAACATCATGGAAAGCTCATGTAGATTGTGGCTAAACCATTAATAGTTTGCCTTCTCCCGTACAAGGCGTGAACAGTGTTTCTGAGACTGTTCCCATGCCAACCACCTGCCCGTTCTTGGCATGGCACACCGGGTTAGGCTGGGTAGACTTGATGGCGGCGGCAGCTACAATGAGGCCTCTGAAGG